GAAACGAGCTCCCTGATGAATACATCGACATCCAGGAGGCAACTCCCCTCTTCTATCGTCGCAATAACTAGTAAATGCTCAATTCGAGCTTGCCTAGACAGTGAGGGATCGGTATTCTGTGATTTCCCGATCAGACTGCACAATTATACCTGTCTATAGCAGAGAATACAGCCACAGCTGCTCTCACGCGAAACGCGATTCAATACATTTACTATTTATCAAATTGTATACATATAAATCCACATATTCATAAATATTTTTTAGCACAATAACTTCTGAAAAGGACCGTTAACCAACACCCCTTTCGCCGCTGATTGTACAGTACGCTCCTCCTACGACAAATCCAATAAGAAAACCACCAGTAGAACCCACAAAGCCATCGAAAGAAAAAACACCACCCAAACCAAAAACAAACCACGTCCTGAAGACGTAAAAAACCTATAACAGGACACCAAAACACCAGACAAAGAATCCATCCCACAGAAAAGAAGACAATGAGTCGCTACTTGTACTTATATTATTACATTGTATCTCGACACGACACAAGTAATTGAAGAGTGAGGGATATGGTATATGGTATAATAAACTTTCAGTCATGTTTGTTATTTAGTCTTTACAATGAGTGCTAAAGTTCAGATGTCTAACGTATTTTTAGCCAAAATTCGATATTTAAATTATGTCGATAATTAAGAGATTAAGATAACAAAGATTTCTTCTAAGCTTTTAAAATTCCTTCTGTCCCTCAACTACTAAGTACATTCTAGGACATAGATGCTATTCATACATATTTATATTTTAACTTCTATTTTCAAAGACACAAAGTAATTTCCTGGCAAGATTGGCAGGAAGTTTAAAATTAGTTTCGAATTACTGCAGCATCCAAGTAAAACAATTCAAAAGTCGTGATGATTTATTTAGATTTACATAAAACCGTAATATACAATACTGACACCGAGAGGAAATGGAAATAGCAAATCTTATGTACGATTGTACACACGTTAATAATAATTTCGCTTTACGTATCATGTTTTCTTAGAATAAACATTTACAGACAGTAATAAAATGTTATAGTTTTTATTATTGCCCAGATTATGTTTTATAAGTTTTATAAAAAAAGTCCAAATCAGTTTTAATGCAAAGTTGCACATAATCTTCACCCTAAAATGCTACATTATGGCACCGCGCAGTTTCGATTAGATGCAGTCAGCACGTTCCTAGAGAGGGGGGCTTAGATTCTCAGTACCTTTACCTCTTTTAGTTTCAAATCAACTGTAACCGTAACTGTTTATCAGGCGCTAATAGCTATTGTAAAATATTTATCGGTATCAGATATCGACACCACAGTACAATTCCAGGTATAATTTTGAATATAGAAGTAAATGGCTTCAATAAGCAAAGCGTTGACTCAGGCTGAGTTAGCAGAAATTGTGCGTGATTATGAGGCTGGAGAGAGTGATGAAGATTTCCCCTTAATTAAATAATACAGAATCTGAATGTTTGAGTGAGGATGAAGACAAAGAGCTTTATCGAAGTGAACATTCTGATACCATTTTGGCAGAACCAGAGGTTAGTGAAGAGGAGAGTGAAGATTCGCAGAAAGATAGCGATCAAAAAAGAAAAGTAGTATATGGAAAAAATGAAAACTCAAAGAACACTTGCACAGTTCAAAAAAACATTTGTTGCTTCGTCTACCAGGTCCAAAGGCTCACGCTTCAAATACACAGGAAGAGATTCTGGGTTGGAAACTATTCTTCAGCGACTCAATGATAAACTATATTACTTAATACACAAAAAAAATCTCTAAACAATATACTAAATTTAGTCAAACTCAAAGTTTTACAACTGTTTTTTTTTACAACAAAAAAGAGATTTTGGCTTTATTCGGTCTTTGTTTTATATGAGTGGTGTTCTAAAAAATAACTACCTGACTACCTCGGATTTATGGTCAAAACAACGGCCAAATACCAATTTCCAGAGCAACAACGTCACAAAAACGCTTTGAATTTTTGATTGTCTTCGTTTTGATGACAAAAAAACTAGAGATAAAATGAAACGTGATGATAAATTTGCACATATAAGATTTCTTTGGAATGAATTTATTGAAAATTGTGAAGCTAATTACACTCTTGGCGCATATGTGACAATTGATGAACAGTTGCTCAGTTTTCGGGGCAGATGTCCTTTTAACGTTTATATTCCAAATAGACCAGACAAATATGGAATTAAAATCGGTATGTTGTGCGACTTTTTATATGTATTCTGCAATACCATATGTGGGAAAATAGAGACGAGATGCATCAGAAACTTTGCCCATCTATGCAAAAATCTCTGTGGCACCAATAGAAATGTCACCATGGATAATTGGTTTTCGTCCTCAGATCTTGCAGAAACAAGTCTGACATTCCGCCAGAATTTCTTAAAAAGAAAAAAATTGTTTAAAGTTCTGACTTTGCTTTTGACGAGAAAATGTTAGTACCATTTTCTTCAAATCCAAAAAAAATTGTTCTGTTGGTGCCAACATTTCATACTTATGGTATAATTGATAAAGAGACACTAGCAAGCCCGAGATTGTTTTATTTTATAACTCTACAAAAGGAGGAGTAGACACTTATGATCAGTTGTGTCATTCTAAATCCGTGTCTAGAAAAACTCGTCGGTGGTCTCTTAGAGTTTTTTATGGAATGCTTGATGGTGCAGGTATTAATGCTTATGTTATCTATAGCGCAAAAGAACCAAATCAGATCTAAATTTAAAAATCACTCCCATGAAAGATTTTCTTAGGCATTTAGCACTACAGTTGGTGACTCCGCAACTAAAAAAGAGATTAGAAATGCCACCTTTGTCCAGATTTTTGCGCTCCGTTATTTTGGAGATCTTGAGATCAAGAAAGGGGTACGACAGGGTTGTATCTTGTCTCCAATTCTCTTTAATATATACTCAGAAGAAGTATTTAAGACAGCGCTGGAGAAAAGCACAGAAGGCATAAAGATAAATGGAGAAATAATTAATAACATAAAGTATGCTGATGACACTGTGATTCTAGCAAGTAGCATGAAGGAACTGAGTTGCCTAATGAGTAAGATACAAAAAACAAGTGCACAATACGGACTCAGACTAAATATCACAAAAACCAAATGGATGATAGTAAGCAAAACCCAACAACCACCACAGCAACTGATATTAGACAATGAAAGAATTGAACACGTGGATTAGTACATCTACTTGGGAACAACAGTTAACTCAAATTGGGATCAAGCGAAGGAAATACGTATAAGAGTAGAAAAGGCAAGAGTATCGTTCACTAGCATGAAGCAAATTTTCACCTCTAAAAGCCTCACCCTACCTCTCAAAATTCGACTTCTGAAATGTTATGTATTCCCGGTTTTGTTATATGGAATGGAGGCGTGGACAATGACCGCAACATTGATAAAAAAAGTAGAGGCCTTCGAAATGTGGGCTTACCGACGTATATTACGTATATCCTGGACTGAGCACGTGACCAACGAAGAGGTACTAAGCCGGATAGGTAAAGAGAGAGAGGTAGGAATAAGTATAAAGAAAAGTAAGTTGGAATACTTGGATCACGTTATGAGACATAATAAATATAGAGTACTACAGCTGATCGTTCAAGGGAAAGTAGACAGCAGAAGGGGTCCAGGGAGGAGAAGACACTCATGGCTCCAAAACTTGCGGCAATGGTTCGGATTGTCGAACTATTCAGATCTGCCGTAAACAAAGTCAGAATAGCCATGTTGATTGCCAACGTTCCGAACGGACAAGGCACATGAAGAAGATGATTTTGGATGTTCTTGATCAAGAGGACCAGCCAGTACTCAGAAATCAAGAAACTCAACCTCCAACCCACAAAAGATGTCAAATTTGCCCTCGATCTGTCAACAGAAAAAGTAGAAACCTGTGCGTCCGATGTAAAGCTTGCCTGTGTACCGAACACAGAAGACCAATCTGTCCAACTTATACCGAAGAAATTCGCTTTTTTTGTTATAAACATGTTCTTTTCTACTTCTTTAGTCTTTTTTATAACTTTGCACAATAAAAAACATAAAAAATAAGTATGTTTTTGATTTCTTTGTATAAATTTAAAAAATGTCTGTGGTGTCTTATACGACACCACGATACTACTAATTACCTAAAAGATATGAACAACATTCAAGGGATAAATTATAAAAATGGTCTAAATAAATTTATCAAAATTAATCAGTGACTGCATAGGAATGTAACATAGTATTTTGTGCGATCGCAAGGAGCGTCGGATAAAGGAGCGGACAAGCCGGGAGGTTGCTGTGGGCTCCAAATTTTGCGAGGAACCAATTTGAAAATAAAAAAAATTTTACTTTAAACGTATCTGTAAAGCGAGATATTTTAGAATTATATTAGATTGTACTCCTGATATTAGTCATAAGTAACAACTTTCATTTACGTTACGTCTTGTAGGTATTAATGACAGCGACTTAAAAATGAAGAAACATTTTATTAGCTGCCAAGAAATTGAGGAATCAACAGGCTACTCATTATTTGAGATAAAAATGGATATATCATAACTTAGATGGTCAAACAACTTCACTGCCATGTAGGGCCATGCTAAATTAACATGTTTAATATTTTTAAATGTATAAATGTGTAAAAATGAATATATCCCACATAAAGCTTAATAATTTTTAAATAATATGATAACCAATAATTACAGACACCATTAGGGCACCTGATAAGTTGCTTGATCTATATTTGGAAGCCATTTTCATATCCAATTAAATTTTTCTCCGAAAAAATCTCACGAAGCAATGACTGGTGATTTTTGTGTTTTGTGAATACTGATGTTAATATAATAATTGTCTTCTTGCCCATATACTGTAATTTACTAAACAACTTAATACGAAGGACAATTGAAATCACTGTAATTATGACAAATACAATTGCATAACCGCTATGACTAAATTTCAAGAGAAACATCTTATTAAACCCAAAATTAAGGTAGTACTTACGTTTCCTGTGTTGTACACACATTCGGTCCTTCCAGCAATCCCAAAGTCAGGGATAATGAGGAGAATAAGATGACTACGGATAATGCTAGCATTTTGATTGTTTCATGAAGAGCTTGTTAAATGGTTTTGTACTGTGATTATCAGGTGGATGTACCAGGGTTAAAACTCCTTGGGAGTGATTGTCACGTCTGAAACAAAATAAAAGTTATGATAACGATAATTTTGACAGAACTATCTTTATCAGAATTATTATGGAATAATTACGACGGAAATTATTAAATTAAAACAAACAAGTATGACTAATTTAAGATAACTAATTCATATATAAATCGTTCTATTATTTCACGACAGGAATTGAATCAAAGTTCTATTAACGCCACATTTATAAATTTCTACATTGACACAGCAGCGCTTAATGTTACAAGTAGAAATTCATCCTCAAAAACCAGGAACATGCTGCATTAAAGATGATCAACTCCCCAGAATTATTAGCATTCTAGATTGAGATTATGCACAAAAGGTCTTGTTAGGTGAAGATTCATAGGAGAAGTAGCCTATAGGAGTTGATTGCAAAAAATATGAAATCCCTTACAACTGCTGAGTCTTGGCTGTCTTGTTTGAGTGTTTGCACATACGGTTGCTCTGAGACGGTAGGACACTTAACAGGGTTTCTGGTTTTAGTCCAAAAGGAAAATCCAGATATTATTTTCACACTTTGTTTTTTACATAGAGAAGCGGTTGTGGCTAAGTCATTGATGCCTGAATTGAATGACGTTTGGCAAACTGTTGTGAAAATGGTGAACTACATCAAGAATAGGCCTTTAAAAGCGAGCATAATTCAACAGTTTGTGTTCCGCTATGGATTCTGAGAAACGGCTAAAGAAGCTATGAAACGGAAGACATTTGATCAATGCGTTCTTCCTATTATGACATTCGGAGCAGAAACTCTCACGCTCACAAAAACAACAGCACTAAAAATGCGAGTGGCACAAAGGCGCATGGCAAGAACAATTCTCGGCGTGACAAAATAAGGAATCAAGACTTAAGGAAAAGAACAGGCACTGGTGATGTCGTCGAACGACATAGCGAGACTGAAAGACACAATATGGACCAGAAAACTAATTGACTGGCACGGTGGATGGACGACATTAGAAGAATATCCAAGAAATGGCAACAAGAAGCACAGAACCGTGAAGAGTGGCGAAAAATGGGAGAGACCTATGTCCAGCACTGTACAGAAGAGATGATGATGATGATGATGGATTCTGAGCATACGCAGCTATTGTTGCATACAGAAGTAAGATGGTTATCTCGCAGACGTGTCCTTCAAAGATTCTATGAACTTAAAGAGGAGATATTAGTATTTTTTAGTTGTGCACAACTGTTGCACCAAAGTTGCGGTTTTGGCAAATATTTTTGGGAAATTGATATTGACACTACTGATAAAATCAGTTCCTTCTAGCAAAGGCTTTTACCTTGGATAAAGAAAGTTGAAAATCAAGTCACGTGGGACATGTTTCAGTTAACAAACAATTCTTCTTCTTCTTCTTCAGATTCAAATCCACTAATGGATGTTAGCGATCATATTTTCCATTAATTCTCTATTTCTTGCAATATGTATCAGATATTGTATGTCGTTAATCCCTGTCCATTGCCTTATGTTTCGGAGCCAGGACATTTTCTTGCGTCCCATTCCTCTCTTGCCTTCAATTTTACCCTCGATTATAAGTTGGAGGAACTGGTATTTTTCATTTCGCATGATGTGACCTAGATACGCCGTTTTCCTTTTCTTGATGGTTTCGAAAAGTTGGCGTTCTTGGTTTATTCTTTTAAGGACATCTATATTTGTGATTTTCGCTGTCCATGGTATTTTTAGGATACGGCGATAAAGCCACATTTCGAAAGCTTCTAATCTGTTTATATCCCTCGTTTTGAGTGTCCAGCCCTCTACGCCATATAGCAGCACTGACCATACGTAGCACTTAGTAAACCTTAGTCTCAGTTGAAGATCGAACTCTGAACAAGTCAGTACCTTCTGGAATTTTACGAAAGCTTGTCGAGCTTGCTCAATGCGACATTTTACTTCCCTGTCCGATGCCCAGTCTTCAAAAAGCCACGATCCCAGGTATTTAAATTTACTCACTCTTTCTATCGATTTACTATTCAGTGTTATGGTAGAGTTTTCAAGTGCATCCAAGTTTCTGGAGATGATCATGAATTTGGTCTTTTTGGTATTAATCTCTAATCCCATTCGCTCACTGTATTCTCCGATTATAGTGACAAGTTGTTGAAGATCGACTATGTTGTCACAAATTAAGACACCATCATCAGCATATCGTATGTTGTTGATCATTACTCCATTCACCTTGATTCCCATCTCTGCATCCTCCAAAGACTCTTGAAATATGGCTTCCGAATAAATGTTAAATAAAAGAGGGGAAAGCACACATCCCTGTCGAACGCCTCTTCTTATATGTATGGGCTTGGATATAGAATTGTCTATTTTTAGCTGTGCCGTTTGATGTCAGTACAAGTTTTCAATGCATCTTATGTCTTTTTAGTCTATATCAACTTTCTTGAGAATCTGCATTAACTTGTGGTGTTGGACACGATCAAACGCTTTTTGGTAATCTAAAAAGCATAGGAACACATCCTTCCTCTGATCGTAACAATTTTGGACCAGCACCTGTGTTGCTACTATTGCCTCTCGTGTTCCTAAATCTTGCCTAAACCCGAACTGGGAATCACTGATGTCCCATTCACATTTTTTGTATAATCTTTGATGTAGTATTTTTAAGAATATCTTTAAAGTGTGACTCATCAGGCTAATGAGTCTGTGATCCTCACATCTTTTTGCATTGACTTTCTTGGGCAGGGGAATAAAGGTAGAGCGTAACCACTGTTGAGGATAGCAGCCAGTTTCATAAATTAAATTAAATATTTTGGTAGGGCTGAAATTCCCCTTTCATCTAGTAATTTGAGTATTTCTGACGGGATCTCATCTTGTCCAGGTGCCTTATTGTTTTTTGAATTTAATATTGCTTTTTCTCCTCTTTGGTGATTAAAGGGCCAATCAGCTGGTCGTCTGTATAAACTTCACTCATGGGTCTTTCGTCATGGAAGAGCTCCTGGATATAATTTTCCCATATATCAATTTTCTCCTTTTCACCCAGCACTATCTGGTTATCCTGATTAACTATGGTAGTTGGTCTTCGTTTTCTGTATATTCCAGCAGTCTCCTTAAGCTTTTTATGTAAATTACGGTCGTCGTGCTGTCGTTGTAAATGTTCTACATCGGTACATTGTTGCTTAAGCCATTCATTTTTTGCTATTCTTATTTTTGCTTTTATTTGCCTGTTAATGTTTTCATACATATTGCTGCCATCTTGGTTATTCTTGTGTCTTCGTCGTTCTTCCATTAGTAAGAATTGTAACAAACAATTGCAATGTAGAAATGAAGAAACAAATCTGTCAGACCTTTTTTTGAAAAGGCTGAATGACAGTATCAAAAAGTATTTTCCCTCCCTCAATAGGTCATCAATGTACTCAGTCAAAACTGAAGAAAATCAAAGCTAATGTAGATATTGCATCATTTTGGATTCCCCTCTTGAATGAATATTCACTGGTCACCAAGAAAGCTATGAATGCAATAATACCGTTTTCAAGTTCTTATATCTGTGAATCTGCTTTCTCGTCAACGCCATCAAGAACAAAAATCGTCCACAGCTAAAACCTTCAGAGGACGACTTAAGGGTGTGTCTACAATACGTCCTAGAAAAGATTTAATAATGAAGAGTCACCAAGCGCAAATATCGCCTTAGATATGGTGTCACTATTTTTGATTAAACGGACATTTTGATTTATACTCCATTATTTTTTATTATCAAATCGTCTCTTTTAATACAGATTGGTGATCGAAACGTCAAAACATACGTAAAATGTAATTTGCATTACAATCAATTATGGTTTAATCCTACATAAATACAGTATATTAGTAGAAGTTGAAATAAAGGTATAAGAAGTCAAGAAGGAGAACTTATTGGATGAAAAATGACAAGAGACGATTTTTTTTAAGAAAAGAAACCAACCAAGATTATCATAAAGATATTTAACCGAGGACAAGACAAAAGACTAAACGACAAAATAGTATATCTTTTAAATATTTATTTTTGTTTCATATAAATATTACTACTTACTAGGTATTACTCCTATTATTTTGTTTGCAACGACTTATAATTGTAACAATAAAAGTCTATGTCATTAGAACAATTTTATTATACGCTGTCTTCATAATAATTACTTCCTTCATAAAAATAACTTATTCTTTTCTTAATTGTCTCTAGATGTTATGCAAATTCTTGCTTTAAAATATCCCATTAGCATTTTTATCACAATCGCAAAATTATTAACTGCACAACATAATTATCTATCAATGTTTCTGCAAATTTTTAAGCATGAACATTAACTATTACCCAATCGGCGCCTTATTATTTCCACCAGGTGTAAGTATGTTCACTGTTCACTCATTTCTATATTTAAATTACAGCGATGGATTATAAAATCACAAACATAAGTGTTTTGTAACTATAAAATTGCCTATATCGTATGTCGTACGTGGTATTTCTCATACTGCCGTCATATTAAAATTCCTAATACAAGGACTGTCTGTATATTATTATTTTTGTTTGTTTGTCCGTTTCGTTGAAATAAGCTTTTCTTAACTTCAATGGATTTATTCATTCTTTCAAACTACTTTACCTCTAAGGTCCTCTAATGAACAATATAATTTTTTAATCGGTGCTTATAAAATATTCTACTATTTAAATAGTTTTACAACAAAAAATCAAATTTTTTATTCAGCGTCGTGATCTCGCATTACCATCACGAAGTCAAACGTGTATATTGTAAACTTTCGTCAATCAAACAGCAATGTGTAAAATACTTGAACAAAAACTGTATTATAATAATATTAACTAACCATTTGCCAGTCTACAAAAATATTTAAGTTACCTTGATCGAAAAAGCCGGCGAATTTACTGTCAAAATCTCGCCAACTCGCCAAAGTCAGTTGATTAACATATATCCGGACTTACTATCGCAAGAAAATGTTTTTTAATACAAAATGAGCTTCAAGCAGAAATTGACAAGCTCTCAAGTATTTCTGAAAATAAAGCAGAGAAACCTTATA